TATTGTATTGTTTTTTCCTACTTTTTTGAAAAAAAAAGTAAAATGTATACGTGTATTTGATATGCCAAAATTACAAAATATCGCCCTAAAATGCACGAATTATCCGCAGCTAGCGCTAGTATCGCTTTTGCTTCCCTTTCCATGACTTTGTACGGAGCGAATATGTACGCAAAGGTAAATAAACTTAAATACAACACAAATTGTATTAGTCCACTAAAAAATCAAAAATCTAAACCCATCTATCGTTCGAAAATAAGATGATGATAAAAGAAATCCGTTATCATCCACATGGTTTCTTCCAGCAAGTTCTTCTTCTACGATTTTTTTCATATGTGGCGAGAACAGCAGTCAAGTTATTAATATAACGGTCTCGGCGTTTACCAAATCGGATAAATTCATTTTCTTCAGAACAATAATACAAAATAAAATATAAAAATGTTCGTTTACAATAAACTCAAGAAACAAAGTGAAAGATTCAGCAACGGTCGATCAATTGTCAAAAATCAGAACTGTCAAATGTCACAATTTGCAATGTTGGCAGCAATGACAGATGACAGAAAGCTTTAAATAAAAAGTCTTGAAAACATGCAACAGTGTACGAAGGACATGCAATTTTTTGCGTGCAATTCTGAATTGCAAGCAATAGAGATGCAGTAAACAGGCTGCAATGTACGACGGTTTTTACTATAAATTGATTTTGTGAAGAAATCGTATTAATGGACTGGTAAATTAGTAAATACTATTTTTTAGGTTTTCAAAAGATTATTGATTATTAACAATTCCACGAATCTCGAAAAATCTATTTACTCATTATCTCTAAAAAATAAATATGATCATTTAAGACCTATTATTAATGAATTACCAAATAAGTTAGATAATATAAATTTATTTAAAAATTCTAGATATCGACGTGGATTAGTAAACATGGGAGGTAGTATTCAAAAATTTTTATTCGGTACTCTCGACGCAACAGATGGAGAGAAATTCGAGAAAGCAATAAACACATTAAAAAATAATCAACAAAATATAGTCCAGGAAATAAATTCACAAATCTCACTATCAAACGAAATAATAGATAAATATTCAAACACTTTAAATTCAATAATTAATAATCAAAAGAACATTTCACAATACATTAGAAACTACCAATCCTTGATGGCTTGGCAGATGAATTTTATAAATTCTCTATATATTCTAATATTCTTGATCAAATCTTTATAAATGCTATTAGAATTACGAATTTTCTAGAAAACTTAGAAAATGCCGTAACTTTCGCTAAATTACATACTATTCACCCGGATATATTAACGCCACGAGAACTAAAAAATGCATTAAGTAAATTACGAAAAAATTACAAAACTGACGAAATTTTAAATATAGATTTAAATTCCTGGTATTCCATAATATTCACAAATTGTTATTTCACAAATGATAAAATAATTTTTGCCATAGAAATCCCTATAGTTTTTCCAAAATTATTCCAATATTTTCACCTCTACCCAATTCCTACCAAAAACGATACCATTATCATACCCGAAAAACCTTATTTGGCTCTAACTGACGAGAAACACCAATATATGGAAGATATCTGCATCCCTTTGGAGGAAAATTACATTTGTCAACAAGAAAAGTTAGAAACTAAAACCGACGTTTGCATTGCCGCCCTCATCAAAGATGAAGAAGCCACCTGTATCCATACACCTATTCAACATCCGATCCAAATATTCAATAAAGTCAATAATGAATATTTGATAATCATTACGACAGAAGAAATGAAAATCAAATCTAGATGTCCTGATGACCAATACATCACAATTCGCAACAACGCTTTGGTCCATGTTCCCATAAATTGCAGCATTGAAGTTTCAAATTATAAATTTGGTTTCAGCACAACCAGAACTTTCGGAAAACCACTAATTTTACATACTATCCATAGTGACAACGCACATCTTCATACTTTGAACCAAAAACCATTATCTATAGACAGCATTCCATTAGAAGATATACACAAAATTCAAAATCAAATATCAGCTATCAATCAATTTTCCATAGATGACATCAATGAACCAAAATCAAAAACTTGGCTCCAATAGTCCTTTATCAGCACCCTGGTGATCCTAACCATTGGCTGTTTTTTGTGGAAAAACAAACATATGAAGAAATTATTCAAAAAAGAAACGGAACCCAAAATTATTCAGCCTTCGACTTCTGAAGAACCCGAAGCCTTCATCTAACAGGGGAGGAGTTATATGAACTCTAAGTGCAAGCTTGCAAGCCGGTCTTCGACCTGCTTCGTCAGCACAAGCTAACTTATAAATATATGTAAAATTGTAAAATTGTCATTCCTTATTTTTTATCAGAGTAAAACGTTTGTTAAGTAAAATAAAATTTTTTAAAAAGTTAATTTTTCATTCCTTAAATTTATCTCGCATCATTTTTACGGGGTTTGCAATTAATATAAATAATAAATTTAATATATACCTATAAAATTCTTTAAATTATTCACATATTTTATAAACTTGCATTATTTAAGTAGGTATCTAGTAATAGTAAATTATTATTATTATTATTATTATTTATTATTATTATTTGTGTTGGACCCATCAGATTTTTTAATTCAAACATCAGAAAGTGTAATACGAAAAAATGAAAGTTGAAATAATAGGCAATAAAAAAGATAAAGAACTTACATTTAAAAATCAAAAATATAAATATTGGTATAGTCCTAAATCTGAAACAATATTCTTCATACATAATACAAGTTCTTTAAATTTAATTCACTAAATTTACCATTTATTTTAAATTCATACTTAACGGCCTTTTGCATAAAATGTAGGTACTTATGTTTCTTTTAAAAAAATGGTAGAGACGCTAATGGTTACTTACCTGTGAAATGACTTTTAAATTTGTATCACTAAAGTAATAAAATACAAAAAATCACTTATAAACTACAAAAATAAGCTAGAAATTAATTAATGTCAAAAATCAAATGACAGTTCTGACAATTTCGAACGATTTGACATGCCAAGCAAAACGAAACAGACCATTGGGAATGCTGGACACTATATTTCCCCCTGTACCAAAACAAAGTCCATTTGGACGATGGCTCTAGCAATATATGCTCGAAGTGTAAACATAACATCAAAATGTCGAATTAAAGAACATTTATTTTTTTCAAAATCCATTTGAGCAATATTTACAATTTTGTAGAAAAGAAACACTCTTTTTTGCTATTGTCTTACACACTATAAAAATGATGAAAAATAGTAATGTCATCCCTTAATTATGATAAAATATGGATTTTTATTATTATAGATATGTATAATATTTTTCTTCTCGTTATTTTTACTTTTCATTTGGTTTGTTACATAGATTATGATTAGTAGACATTAATAAATTACAAGTTTAAAAAAAAATAGGATGCAGACGTTTATATTCGGCTGTCGATAAGTGAGGATGTATGTTTATTAACATTACTCCGTAACTAGGTCAGTTTCGTTTGCGTGTGTAGTGTAAATATTTTTTAATCGCGATTATTTTAAATAATCAACAATTATTGCAAAACGTAATGTTTAAGAACAAAAATAAAAATAATAATGTGCCATTAAAAATAGTTTTAAAATGTTTAGAAAAAATAATAAAACAGAATCGACACCTGCCAAAATGCTTCTGAAGCAAACAAACAGGACCTGCTTTAGGTAAATCAAACAACTAATATGGAAGTAGAAGAAAATCTCAATATCTCAATATCAGGCCTTATTTCATGAAAATCAAGCTAGAAGTCAGAATGAACAGGCATTGTACAAGAAAAAGCTGAAAAACAGCAACTAGAAAATGCATTGCAACAAATGAAAAACAATATGAAAAATATGCAAAAACAAATTAATATCTTAAACAAAGAAAAATCTAAAAGTCTAACGAATTATGAGACTGATTAAGTAGAACTGGCAACAGAAATCACCGAAAAGCTAACTACTCTCCAGAAACCTCTCCTGGAGGTAACAAAAATCTAAAACAAACGAAAGAAATAGTCGAAAAAACAGTGAAATTTTCCTCGATAATACCAACATCAATAAAAGTATGAAGAATTGCGCCAGACACTGGCAAAAAATAATATTTCCTTTTAAACCACAGCTCTAGGCAATAACCAGTTTAAAATTAATACTAAACAAGAAGAAGACTTCAAAAATGTCATATAAACCTTGGATGCCAAAGACATAAATTGGCATTCCTATGAAATTAAACACAACAGAGACATTAAAGTAATAGTTAGCGGTCTATCATCCACATCTAAACCAGAAGATATTATTAAAGACTTGCAAAGTAAAAGATTAAAATGTAAAGAAGCTGTCAATATAATAAAGAACGAAATAGAATTAACCAAGGATAACACTCGTAAACTAAATAATAAATATTTGCCGCTATTTTTGCTATCCTTCGAAAATATTGAAAATATCAAGAAAATCTACAAAATCATAGCAAGCGGGGTAACTGAACCCAGGGGACAACTGGGCTACGGGTATTCTGTCTTTTATCAGCGCTTGATATGCATTGTGACACAATTGGCAACGTTGTATTAATCCGTTTATTTGACTGAACAACGATCCTAACCGCAGTTTCACATCATCTAGCTTGGCCTAGAGTGGTTCATTAAGTTTTCGATAATTTTTTGTGTTAACAATGTGTTGCTCTTGTGCATTTCAATTATTTTTGTTTGAACACGGTAAGTATTTTTGAAATCTTTTTTAGTTCTTATTAGAAAATACGTACAAAAGAAGCGATTTATAAGTGTTTTAGACCATGTGCTGGTCGAGCATTTAATCAAGCATGGGTGGCCTAGTTACCCCGAATTTTTTTATAAAACGGGGTCACTGGACCATCTGACTGGGGTAACTGGATCCTGGAACCTGATCCAGTTACCCCAACGATCTTAAACACATTTCAATATTTTATGGAGGTGTAGAATACTTCAATATATTCTTTTTTCTTTTATTTTGCAGGTGGGAAATATGGTTCGGAAATATGTTCGAAAAACTGCAAAAGGTGCAGGGTTTGCCTATACTAAGGAAAACCTACAAAAGGCTCTTGATGATGTGCGGAATAGGAATAAAACTACTAGAGGTGCAGCAGCCCACTAAAGTATACCCATAAGTACACTGAAACATTATGTGTTAGGGACTAGAGGAAAAGGTGGTAATGAAAGTAACTACTCTCTACGTGAAAGCGAAGACTTTAAACTTTTCTGACAGCGATGAAGAAATAAATTTGAGCATTTTACACCCTGAAGACATTTTGCATGCTGGTGACTTTGCTGTAGTTAAAGTTTTTGGAAAGGATGATTTATCTTTCAGAATGTATATTGGAAGAATACAAAATACTGATGCTGAAGGTTACGAGGTTAAATTTTTGAAGAGACATGGCCAAACTATGAAGTTTCAAGAAACTGAAAAAGAATCGTACGTTCAAAGAACTGAGATAGTCAGAAAATTATGACAGCCTTTAAAAAACAAATTAGCACGGTATCGTAATATGGTTTCTTTTAATACTGAGCTGACCGACCTAAGTAACCTTATTGATTAAAGCTATCTAATGGTTTTTGATTTATAAAGGCCAAAAGTTCTGAAAAATGTTTTATTTTCAAGCAAAATTATTATTTTTTTCCTTAAATAAATATATTTTCACATTTTGTTTAAAGGTTGTTCCAAAATGTAATTTTTTCATACTTTAAAGTGTTTGTAGTAAATAAAGCACTTTTTTATGTGATTTTCTTTCTGATTTTTCATTAGTTAATTGGTATTTGTTTATTTGCACACGGCCTAAATAGTCAAAATAAGAAAAATATGTGTAATCTGTTGTATTTAAAAGTTCTAGAATAGGCCCAGATGCCTCAAACTAAATATAATCATCCTACTTAAACAATATACACGGGTGGTCCAGTAACCCCAGTTGTCTGGGGCAACTGGGCCCACCGGGACAAAAAAAGAAATAAATTTTTTTCCCACTTAACTAATTTACAATTAAATCGTGTAACACGTAAGTATTCTTAACTGAACCTGTCTTAAGACACACACGTATTCAAAAGTTCATTTCAATTAACATTATATGTTTATTGGCAGTACAAATGTCTCGACCACATAATCATGTTGTAAAATCATGACCCAGTTACCCCACCTTACCTTACTTAATCTAAGAGTTAGAACAGAAACCATAAGAAAGTCAAAACTAGTTCCGCAATGCAAAGGCTGCCAGAAATTTAGATATACACACAACTTTTGCAATCATACGAAGGATTGTGTAAATAGTCCAGAACAAAAACCGAAGTGTATAAACTGTCTAATGGAATATCCTACTAACTACAGAGGATGGGAGGTAGCTAATACCTTTCAAATAAGGCAGAGGAGACCCATAAACGCTTTTCCTACTGTCAGAAATGAAATAACATATTCTTAGGTAACAAACTCACAGGTACAACCAATTCAAAGGACAGAACCAGCCATGAATCTCACGCCATAAATTGCACAGCATGCTGCACAGTCAACCAGCCTAGCAAAAAGTACAACTCTTTAATAACTAGAATAGATTCACTTTCTGACAGGCTCCAGAAGCTAGAAGAATTAGATAAATCACAAATATATAATAAAACCACCAATAGACAAAAAAGATATTAGCATAGCCACTGGAAATGTCAATGGTATTCTCCAAAACAGACTGATATCCAAGTTTTCTTGAACGTACAAAAATAGATGTGTCTGATTTCTGAGACCCACCTTACAATGAGGTCATACATTAAATTCAGAGGATACAACTTCAATCACACTATCCATCCATCAAATGCAGCAAGAGTAGGAAGTACGTTAATTATTAAAAATAAAATTTCTCACTATGAGGAACCAGGCATCCAAGAACCAGATAATCAGGAGAAAATTAGCACCATTAACATTAAGGGGGGACAAAATTACAATAGCTGCAATCTATTGCCCAACAAGATACAACCAGAAAAATAAAATTATCTCAATGTACTCAAAAAACTAGGTAAAAAATTTATAATCGATGGAGATTACAACTCCAGAAACACCAACTGGGGTTCGAGATTAACCACAGTCAAAGCAAAAGAAATGCATCGAGCTGCATCAGAACTTGGTTGTACATACCAATCTTCTGAAAAACCCACATATTGACCCACCAACCCAAATAAGATTCCAGACCCTTTGAATTTCTTTATTCTGAGAAAAATTTCACCAAACTATACACAAGTAGAAGTATGGATTCAGACCATTCTGCAGTAATTCTTACTCTAAGTGATAATTTTATTCAAAAAGAGGCAAAACCGACCCTAGCAAATCATAAAACTAATTGGAAAGGTTTTCAAGAGGACGTAACAAATACTATTCAACTGACCATAATATTAAAAACGAAAAATCAGTGAAATCCGACAACCGGGGGTTGATAATTAATTTAAATAATTCTTATATATTACATATTATATTCAAATTTTTATTTTCGAATTCAAACCACATCCCAGCGTATCCCGCCTCGTAGGCGCCGTTTAAATTACTTCTGGGAAACGAAGTCGACGTAAGACTAGAATGGTCGCTAGAACAAAACTGATGTAAAAACGTAAGGGCTATATTCCGGAATTAATACAAAGCTTTAAGATCTTTATGCCCGAACGCATAGTCGTTCTCTTTCCGATACATTTGCGTATATGGGAAATTTAAGCATAAATACCCGGTTTTTTGTGGGCTGGGGAACATTTACTTTTTTTTCTTCACCGAGTCGAGTTAACAAAAAACGCAAATATCCACGTTACCGCCACGGTGACTCCTTTTTCTTTATATTATTCAAATATAATTAAGAAGAGATATCGCTACCCTTACGGTGGCCGCGTTTTTGTTATATTTTGACAACGGAAATAAAAGGTATCGACGGAGTAGAGAAATTAGTTTCTATAAACAACGGCTTCTGCATAGATATCCAGTTGTCCTTAGGATGACCACCTTTTTCTTATATATTATATATAAGTAAAAGGAGATATATAGTCAGGTTGACCAAGCAGATACACGTTGAATAGAACCAGATTTCGCTCCTAGAACTGTTTTGTAAGGTTGCATCTACCGAGCGACTAAAATATTGGCGTAACTGATACTGGTGATACCACGCTAGTCTAGTTAAACGCCAGATATTTTGTATCTCCGATTCAACATTATAAAATGTTACTAAATGATTAAAAGTACTACTCTAGGCGACGTTCGTAGTGGATTTCGTCACCCTTCAGGCTGACCTGACGAACTTGCGCCAGGTAGTCGCTTTTATCAGCGGTACCTATATTTTTTTTTCTGTAAGGTTTGTTTTACGTAGAATTAAAACGATAATCGCACTATTAAAGTAATCAAACTAGTATTTAATATTCATATATTCCGGGGGAGAATTTAGACAAACATTAATAGGTTACAGGTATCACTTTATTACTTTTATATTCATTAGCGGGAAAATTCGCGTCTGTGTGTTATTGTCATATTTTTGGGTATTCATTGGTAAACGTTTATTGTGGGAAAAATTATACGGTTTTTATATTGTGCTAAATTATGTTATTTAGAGAATCGATAGTGATGTTGTTGTCATAAATATTAATTGTTGTTAAGTCGGTCAATGCTCTCAAGTAACAAATTAAGTCCTTTAAATTTATGGCCAAAGGGCCGAATTGTAAAGTTTCGGTTGTCTGTAAGCAGTACCTGCCCCTTTCAGTAAAGATAAAATGCACTTTCGGTTTTACTTTTAAATGGCAAACAGATGTAGATTAGTAGGGTAAATGCCGTTATTTGTATATATTTTAAAGTTAGTTTTCGGTTTAAAAAAATATGTTTTCTGTAGTTCTTTGTAAAACAAAATTGAGTAGACAAATGTGTCATTTTAGCCGTAAGGAGTATTAGTTTTGTGTATCGATTTTTCGGGAAAAAGGAGATATGTACAGCGGTGGGTAGAATCATGAATATTGATAAGGGTCGTATTTATTTGTACATATCCACATATCTTTAGCGGGACATTACGCGGAAGTAGTTGGTATGTTTGTTATTTATTTAGAATAAATAGGTGAAATTGTGTTTGTGGACTAGCTAACGTATTCTCAGAACTGTGATTAATAACACTGATTTGTCAATCGACAGAGCAAAAGAGCATCGTGTCGAAAAAGACGCCTTAGGCCACCATAGACCGCCAGGGACCTTAATAGTAAGGGCCTAAAAATGGTATTTCCCTTGCGGCTATGTAAAATAAATCCTGATAGAGGCTTGGATGGATCTCTACTGAGATACCCAAAAAGTGGGCCTGACGGGCATCCCCCTTTATATCAGATCGACCGTTCAGTGTTTTCTATACAGGACTGAGTATGTCAGTAGATTACGGCATTGGAATATTAGGGAAAGGCGTGACGCACGGTGAGGTAAATCTACACTCTGGTTTTTACACATATTAAAAATATTCTTAACCGACTTCAAAAAAGGAGGAGGTACTCGATTCGACGCAATATTTTATATCTAACAACACTCCTCGTGCTACTCTCTTTTATTAGACAATGCGTAATTCAGTAGTTCCGTGGAAACGTGTGATTGTATATTAGGAGACAAACAAATATACCAAAGTACTTCCGAATTTTATTTTACCCTTTTATGGGAACTAAAAGCTCTGAGGTTAGAAATGACACATTAGAAAGCCTACATAATATGACGGAATTTGGTTAACAAAAAAAAAAACACTATGTTTGTTTTGGAAAATATAAATTAAAATCAATGTTTCTGAAAAAAAGTCAATTTTGAAGTTTTAAGAAAATTAATAATTATTGATTGTCAGAGGGGATGAAAACTGTCAGAGGGGGAGTGGAATTTTAAAAAGACAGATTATTGAATGTAAAGTTACAGAAAAATAAGTATGGATTATTGAAATGTATTGAAATTGGTTACATGAATAAAGCAGAAAATATAAAAAGAAGGTATATAAGTTTTATTTATAACAGCATAAAGCAGAAATTGAAAGCAGAGACAAGCAGAGACAGCAGATATAAGCAGAGACAAGCTGAGACGCTAGAGGACAGCACACAAGAAGTAATAAGGCAGGCGATAGAACAAGAGCAGTGTAAGGAGAGGGAAGTGCAGACAGGGCTGAGAAGAAGAAGACGACAATAAAATAATATAATTTCTAAATTAATATTTTTTATTTAAATTTTTAGAGTCTAAATTACGATACAGTGTTATCAAATCAAACATAGAGGGAATAGTTAAATTGATATTTGGAAGTGAAACGTTATAGAAATTTCGTAGGTGAGTTTATTTTTTTTAATTTTTCTTTTCTTTTGATTATCGAAATTATTGATAATGGGTAATACAAGTGAATGAACCCAACCCAAAATTCTGATACAAATATTCATCATAATCTAATAAAAAATTTAGATAATTACTGAGCTAGCTATACTGGGTTAAATTAAACATCTAAATTCTTAT